TTCTTGAACTATGACTTTTGATTTTTAATTTCTAGACTTTTCTGTTCATCTAACATCTTTGATGCAATCATGTTAGTAACACGTGCCATACTACAGAATCATCAGTGTTTTGCTACATCACTGTCATAATAATTGCTTGACAAAACATTTACACAGCATAACTACATAGTAAGTAATCAAAATGTGTTACTGATTGAGGATACCCATTGTTTGACAATCAGTAAGTAGAAAAATACTCTTACAAGAAATGCACAGGGATGATTTCAGTAAGACGGTGTCACTTTTGGAAAATTTTAACATAATCTCTTTTTTAGCCTCTTACTTAAAAATTAAACTTCATTATCTCAAAAACCAATATCTAAATACATGTACCATTTATATGTTGAAGTGAGTTGGTACTCCCAACCCCTTATTCTTTAAGTTTTTACCCTGAATGGTTATCTGGAGTCATTGGATATCTTGATGTTTAATCTTGGTCCAGTTGAAATTGAGAAAAAATGCTTTTACTGTACTTCTTGAGTTCATTTATTTAAATGTTTTACAAGGGGGAAAAAAGACACATATATTTAAATTTTGAAACATGTTAAAATAATCTTTTACATGTACATGTATATTACACATATATTCAAGTAAATTTTTTTAAATAAGAATTCATTAAAAATATTTGAATCAATTGAAGTTGATTGCAGTAGATATAATGTGAATTATGAGCCTAAGACACAACAAGCAAATTTAAAGAATAGTGGTCTCATTCTGTCATTTGTCAACTGAAAAAGTTTGATGATAATAGGCCTGAAACTGTTCAAAATATGCCAAGATTAAATGATTCTAAACCTCTCGGTATTCGAATTAATGACCTTTATTGTTTTGAAAAAGATTAGCCATAAAATTCAAAAAGTAGGTCAAGGTGACCTACTTTTTAGTTGACGTACTTCGACGACCCAAGATGCATCAACTGACAAAGTTTGATGATCATAGGCCTTAAATTGTTCAAAATATGCCTCTAAATCATTTTGAAAAAGAATGGCTGCAAAATTTAAAAAGTAGGTAACCATGAACTACTTTTGAGTCAACATGATACGAGGTCCTTAGATGCATCAACTGACAAGATTTGATGATCCTAGTCCTTATAGTAAGCAAAATATCAACATTTTAATAAATGTAATTTTTGGTCAACTTTGAAGTGACCTTGAGACCAAGTCCTTTGTCCCAGGGCGATTCCTGTGCAAATTTTAATCTACAATATACATGTATCCTCATCCTTTTGTGAAAGTTTGGTGATAATCTGCCCAGTGGTTCTTGAGAAGACGATTTTTTAGCAACCAGTACTTTTGGTTTTATTTACCTAATTATCTCCCCTTGTTTAAGGGTCACAACCCTAAGTTTACTATAAACGGGAGCCCTTGGGCCATGGATACACTGTGACAAATTTGACAATAATTGGCCAAGGGGTTCTTGAGTAATGGCACATATTCTAACAAGAGGCCCATGGGCCACAATGCTCACCTGAGTTACTTTGGCCCTGCTGTTCTTCACCAGACCCTCCCTCCCTTGTAATACTTATTGCGGCCCCACCCTACCTCCGGGGGCCATGATTTGAAAAATTAGAATCTACACTACCCCAGGATGATTCCACATATGTTTCAGTTTTTCTGGCCCAGTGGTTCTTGAGAAGAAGATTTTTGAAGATTTTGCCTATATATTTCAATGTAAAACTTTGATTCCCTATTGTGGCCCCGCCCTACCGCCGGGGGCCATGATTTGAGGAATTTAGAATCTACACTACCCCAGGATGCTTCCACATAAGTTTCAGCTTTTCTGGCCCACTGGTTCTTGAAAATAAGATTTTTAAAGATTTTGCCTATATATTTCAATGTAAAACTTTGATTCCCTCTTGTGGCCCCGCCCTACCCCCGGGGGCCATGATTTGAAGAATTTAGAAATCTACACTACCCCAGGATGCTTCCACATAACTCTCAGCTTTTCTGGCCCTGTGGTTCTTGAGAAGATTTTCTAATGACCCCACCCTATTTTTGTCTTCTCTTGATTATCTCCCCTTGTAAAGCGGGTTGGTCCTTCATTTTGACAATTTAAACTCCCCTTCACCCAAGGATGCTGTGTACCAACTTTGGTTAAATTTGGCTCAGTGGTTCTTGAGAAAAAGATGAAAATATGAAAAGTTTACAGACGGATGGACAGACAGACGGACAGACGACGGACAACTGGTGATCAGAAAAGCTCACTTAAGCTTTCAGCTCATGTGAGCTAAAAAGTTTACGTACACTGCACAATGGCCATAGCATTAGCTCTTTGAGCCTTTGGCTCACAAGAGCAAAAAAGATAAAAAAGAATTATGTATCTTAGAGTCGTCTATTTGTAATCAAAGTTATATTGAAATCAGACTAATTTCTTGAAATAAAAAATTGCACTGTTGTAGTGCAAAAAAATTAATGATATTTTACATGTCGCTACAATATTCAAGAGAGGGCATGTTGCAAAATTTTAAAATTAAATTAGAGGGGTTATGACTGTTTCATCGCTAATTATAGATGATCAATGCGAAAACACAAAGTTGAGAATTGCAATGTCATTGAAAGTCTTGGAGAGCACTACGCTATTAAAAAATTATTTCTTCAGACAGGAAAATACCCAAAAGAGACTAAAATGTTTTAAGATGCTTCAGGGATTGCCTATACATATCTATGACAAAAGTGTTCAAATAGTAGTAGCTTTGTTAATGGAAGGATTGACATTTTTGATGACCCAGTCCATGCGATATCCCAGTACATCGCTTATCGCATGGATGTTGTGCCTACGGATTTTGCATTGTTTCCATTCCTATTGCTTTACTGTGTAGACATAGATTTTAAGATCTCAATAATATTTGATATGCAACAATAGAAAAAGTAACATGACTTGCTAGAGTTATTCAATTTTAAAGTAGGGAAAAGACATGTAAATGATAGAACTGAAAGGTATTTATAGCTGTGAAAAGCTCAGCAGGTTTGGAATCAGGTTGTCACATCACCTAAGATCAAACAAAAGGCCCAAGGGCCTTGAATCGCTCTTCTGATACACTGTACAACCTATCACTTCTATTTGAAGCCTCTAAGTATCCTGTATATTTAGATAAACCCTTAAAATTCAAATTCACATTCTGAGAACCCAAGATGATTCTAAGCCAACTAATACCTGAGAGTTGGTCAGGTGACCTACTTATCACTTCTCTGAGGACCCATCAACTAAGTTTGATGATTCTAAGCCTATTAATACCTAATTTTTTTTTTTTTTAAATTATAACCATAAAATTTTATAAGTAGGTCAAAGTGACCTACTTTTCAGTTGTTGTACTCCAAGGACCCAAGATGCATCAACTGACAAAGTTTGATGATTCTAAGCCAATTAGTACCTGAAATATTTAATTAAAGCCATAAATTTTCAAAAGTAGGTCATGGTGACCTACTTTTCAGTCGACCTACTCCGAAGACCAAAGATGCATCAACTGACAAAGTTTGAAGATTCTAAGCCAATTAGTACCTGAAATATTTAATTAAAGCCATAAATTTTCAAAAGTAGGTCATGGTGACCTACTTTTCAGTCAACCTACTCCGAAGACCAAAGATGCATCAAGTGACAAAGTTTGAAGATTCTAAGCCAATTAGTACCTGAAATATTTAATTAAAGCCATAAATTTTCAAAAGTAGGTCATGGTGACCTACTTTTCAGTCAACCTACTCCAAAGACCAAAGATGCATCAACTGACAAAGTTTGAAGATTCTAAGCCAATTAGTACCTGAAATATTTAATTAAAGCCATAAATTTTCAAAAGTAGGTCACGGTGACCTACTTTTCAGTCGGCCTACTTCGAAGACCCAAGATGCATCAACTGACAAAGTTTGATAATTCTAAGCCAATTCGTGAAATATTTAATTAAAGCCATAAATTTTCAAAAGTAAGTCATGGTGACCTACTTTTCAATTGACGTTTTTTAAGAACCCAAGATGCATCAACTTACAAAGTTTTATGATCATAGGCTTTAAAATGTCCAAATTATGCCTCTAAAACGCTTTGAAATCGAATGCCTGCAAAGTTCAAAAAGTAGGTCACTGTGACCTCCTTTTTAATAAATATGTTTTATGGCCCCAAGATGCATCATCTTACAAGATTAAATGATTCTAAACCTCTCGGTATTCGAATTAATGACCTTTATTGTTTTGAAAAAGATTAGCCATAAAATTCAAAAAGTAGGTCAAGGTGACCTACTTTTTAGTTGACGTACTTCGACGACCCAAGATGCATCAACTGACAAAGTTTGATGATCATAGGCCTTAAATTGTTCAAAATATGCCTCTAAATCATTTTGAAAAAGAATGGCCGCAAAATTTAAAAAGTAGGTCACCATGACCTACTTTTGAGTCAACTTGATACATGTATGAGGTCCTTATATGCATCAACTGACAAGATTTGATGATCCTAGTCCTTATAGTAAGCAAAACATCAACATTTTAATAAAATGTATTTTTTGGTCAACTTTGAAGTGACCTTGAGACCACGCCCTTTGCCCCAGGGTAGATCCCCGTGCAAATTTTAATGTACAACATATCCTCATCCTTTTGTGTAAGTTTGGTGATAATCTGCCCAGTGGTTCTTGAGAAGAAGATTTTTTAGCAACCAGTACTTTTGTTTCTATTTTCCTAATTATCTCCCCTTGTTAAAAGGTCACAACCCTAGTTTTAGTACAAAAGGGAGCCCTTGGGCAAAGGATACCCTGTGACAAATTTGACAATAATTGGCCAAGGGGTTCTTGAGTTATGGCCCATATTCTAAAAAGTTTACACACACCGCACAAATGGCCATAGCATTAGCTCTTTGAGCCTTTGGCTCAGAAGAGCTAAAAACATCAAATGCTTGCTCCCTGAATTCTTTGACTGCACAGCAAAAATTGTATATTTTCAACATTTTAGTAAATGGACCTGATTTTTTACATATTAATAAACAGATAAACAAAATATAAGAATTTAATCAGATAAATGTCATTTTTCAAAGTGCACAGTAAATTTTCCTTAAATCAATGTGTCCGCAAACTTTTCTAACAATCCTTGTTCATGTACATGCCCTTAGCACTGAAGTCATTTGAAATATGCACATATGTTAACATTTGTTGTTGTATATGCCAAAATAGCAGTTCTCTCTAAATTATTTTGTAAAAATACATATATTACATTGTAAGTTTTTAATGTATTAAGGCCTGATGTGTCCATAATCCTAGATGGAAGGACTTTTATCCTTGTGTGACTGTTTAAATTTCACTATAATGCTGCTTATTCTTCGTCATCTCCAAACAGATGCTCTTCTGGCAAATATGGTCATGCTTGGTATCAAATTTCAGTTATCAGATGGCAGTCACACCTATCCAAAAGAAATTGAAATTTCTCATTCAAAATAAAAAAAAAAAAAAGTACAACTTATAAATGAAAAATAGTGATGTTAGTTTTACTTGGACAGCTAAGTCGAACAGTCAGAGGCTTTAGTCAAATGAAAGTCGAGTACTCGTTGAAATTTAAATTAATTTTTCATGTCATTTTCCTTTTTGTCTTTAAGAGACTGCTAGCCTGTACAATATTTAAACTACGTTGTAACCATTATACAACAAATTATTGAATCATTAACATTTACCTAGTAATAAATATATGTATCAAATGTATTTGATTTCAAATATAATATTTACTGCCAGTGTTTTTTTTTTTCAGTACTTTGGGAATGGGGGCTGGGGCCCTCAGAATTGGGAATTTCAGCATCAATTAGGCTAAATTGGGAATCTCCCAGAAAACCCAATCACTTAAAAAGCATTGTCAAAAAGCTTTGTTTTTGTCTTTGTATTACTTTAACAAACAATTGTTATAACTAATCAAGACTATTCTTGGTATGGATTATCTAATTACTTGCATCAAGAACAATAGTGGTATGAATTATCTAATTATGAAGAAATCCAACTTGGCTGAGTTGGCAGAGGATAGTTTTTTTAATGCCAAACATGTGCCGAGGGGGTACACATATACATGCGATCCATAAAAACATGTACATGGGGACAGTTTTCCAGGGGCTAATTAATTACACTTCATATGCCCATGGCTAACAAATTATGTCAACAAATTACATGTAATCTGCCTAGTAGAATGCACATGTACCAAAAATGCACCTGGGGTCTCCCCAAATTTTGGCTTGTTTTCCCAAGATTTGGGCCTCAGTCGCACCCATACAACCCACCCCCAGGCCCGAGCGAGCAGGATAAAACACCCAGTAGTCTGTAAATCAATGCATGCCCTAATGAAAATTCACCAATTGATATGGGGCCATTCTTCTTCCCTCTGAGATACACACCTTCTTCTAAGGCCTACTGCTTTTCAGCTGAATTTCCTCTGCAACTGACCACGTCTTAGGTTCGCATTTACAACTGTATATGATAAGCGTCATAGTGACACCTACATACAGTTGCACATCATTTATTTCAGCAAGCACTCTGCTACACTGCAAATGTGTCCCATAATTATTCTAATCATTTTTCTACATAAACATACATGTGATAAGTCAAAGACCACAAAACTGTACAGGAGCCACAAAAAAACTGGAATTTGGGTGAAAAAACTGTACACTGCCTATCAAAAAACGGTACAAAAAATGGTATAAAATATCGCTTAAATTCTACTGAAATTCCATCGTAATCATTGTAATAAACATCGTATATTTTATACCTACGAAGATCTGGGTCAGATTCACGTATATTAAGTCATGTATATCAAATTTAGAAGTTGGCTTAATTTTTTTCAATCAAGTTACGTATACGAAACATTAACAGTAATTAAGTACCCCTTAAAAAATAAAGCTACCTAAAGGGGTATTTGATACGAATTTATAGCAAGATAATTATCCCAATTGGCAGTTCACACCTTCTCACGCGATGGTTTGTGTACACTACACAATTATCATCAGGTCAAGTGTCAACACAGGTGACGTTTTCCAGTGTCTCGCGAGCGAGAATGAGAGGAAAATGGCGGCATTTAGCGAGAAATTCAAAATACTGTACAAATTTTCATATTCCGTGAATTTTGGTGTCCCGCCGGTACACGATGAATGGGCTCGAAAAACTGTACATTTTGCGTACAGCCTGTACATATCACATGTATGCATAAAATATCACATCAAACAGGGGATATCTCAATTTTGAAATTTGACCGGGTCTTTAGTACGAAACTATCCCCTGCCACCTTTAACTTTCAAAGTTTGCTTTTAATTAAAATAACTTTCCATATTTAGAAAGTGCAATCAATTCTGAGTAAAAATATACTAAATATGTCTTATTTCAATGAAAAATAAAAAAAGTTAAGAGGCAAATAAGTGACCCCACCAATTGTCGGTCAACCACCTTAACCCCATATTCTTTGTGTTACTTCAAAAATGACCAACTCCTACAATCCAAGAGAATCTATTTCTTACCAAAACAGTGTTTAATGGTAACTTTGATCAATTTCAAATGCAGCTACATATAAAAAGTTCAATAAGAATTGCATGCCTTCATGAAATGTACTCACATGAAACACATACTCTCCTATTTTTGATGTTTTGAGAAATCCCATTTTACCTCTTAATTGCTTGAATTTATACATCTATAGCTTGTTTGCAAAAAAAAACCAATCTATTTTTCAGGATATATATTGTAATTTACAAAAACCCCTCTTGCATCAAAGGTTCAAGAAGAAGTGTCCTGGAAATTGCAGTTATCTACCCTACCCCTCCAACCATTACCTGATTCTATAGAGAATATACTGTGGAAATCTGATTTTACTGACTGTCCTTTTTCTGAGTATATTTCCATTCAATTTCAATGTATCTGAGTGATCAAATACATGCATTTGATTCCCCTGAATATTTAAAGTGATCATCCTGTCCTTACTTGGCATTTGTGAGTAAATTTCAGGTGTTTAGTAGAATCCAATAATTACATGAAAATGTACCGAATTTCGGCCCCAAGTCGGCCCTAAAAAAATCACTGACTGCACATTTTATCTATCTACAGAACATCAAATGCTCGTATTTATCCTTTCTTTTCCTGCTGCTAGTACATGTACCCGTTATTGATTTCTTACCTGAAGCCATTTGAATGTGTCTTGTCAGTGACCCGTGATTGTTAAACAATTAAAGTGTAACTCTTATAAAAACAAAATTTTAATTATGAGACTTTTGCATTCAATGAATACAATGAATACAATTTAAAAATGATTGATATTAATATCAGAAAGAAACACCTTTGAATTATGCTCATAACCATTCCCCAATTTACATGTATTTATAAAGTTTTATTATTCTTCATTAATTGGTAGTTGCATTATATGAGATCTTACGAAATTGCAGGTTGAAACTTTACAATTTGGATCCAACATCTTTTAAAGTATGCCAATGCATGTTTGAACAATTAACAAAGACTCATGGTTAAGCCTTTCCCTGAGTTTGAACACTGATACGTTAATAAATGAACTGAGCAGATCCAATTTTTTTTACATTGAATTTAAGAGTAGCAAATTTTAAACGAATAACCGACTTAACAAATTTTAGTCGATAGTCAATATGATTGAATGGTAATCGAGTACTCGAATATTCATTGACATCCCTAATGAAACCATCAAACAGAGTTCAAAGATACTGTCATATTTTCCGTGTATTATTTGTAAAAAGTACTCTATTAAATAGATGTTTACATGCAGTCAATTTTGAGGATGTAATTAAAAAATATAATATATATAGGGATTAATTAGGAGTTTTTTTTCATGATTTCACAAAGGAAATGCACATAACTTATACATGTAAAAAATTTCTTAGGGATGGCAATGGTCAACTGGGTAACCATCTAATCAGTCAGAAATATAGTAACCGGTTTAGTATGGGATGACGGGTTATGATTTTCATAACCGGTTAGTCGGTATTTTTTGTAAAATATGTACTTTTTAAATAATATACCAGTATACATATTTTTTTAAAAAATTACCACTTAGATCATGTAGATAGCATGTGTAAAACTAGTCTCATTCAAGCAGATGCTCGACTGTCTCCATAAACTCCTGCTCGTTGGAGTTTACGGAGACAGACAAGCATCTGCTTGAACGAGATTAGTTTAAAACTGAAAAGTTGCAATCGACTAATTAAATTATTCACAATATACAGCCACTGTGAAAACAAATCCCCATTATTTTGTCATTACAGTAAAACATGCTTATAAGTGCCAGGGACAAATAATTTTGATTCATTATAAATGTATTCATTTTTCAGTTTAGTTTTCAGTATGTTTTAAAACCACAGGGAATGAAAATCACTTCACTATATGCTTCAATTCCTTATTTAAGTCTGTTCGCAGTAAGCGTGTTTTACTGTATAACCCAAATACCACTCTAAGTTTACATACCCCAATCTATTTTTTTACTAAACAATGTTTTACATGGTAATTAATCTAGTTCATTATCTGTAATGGTAGCCTAGTTGTAGGGCATTCATTTTGTAATCAGGAGGCCTGGGCTTGATTCTCATTTGCTGTGTCAAACCTAAGACATAAACATATAGGTAGTGAAGGTTCTTTCACCAAGCACCCAGCATTAGAATGAGAGTCAACAGTTTTTCAGATGAGACCTTAAAAACCTCACAGTAGATGTTGGGACAATAAAGAACCCTCACTGCTCAATGGGCCTTAGTGCTAAGTATTAAGGTCTATGTTTGAAGCCCTTCACCAGTATGTGGTAATGTCTCTATACGAGAGAAAAATTTTCAAGTAAGATGTAAAACAACATACAATCAATCAAAGTGTCAGTATTAGAAGCTGATCCTTACGTCGCAGGTTTGAATCCCACTGCTGGATGTGGATTGAGATAGGTTCCTCGGATGAAACCGTATGAACCGAGGTTCTGTGTCACAGAAGGTGCTGGCACGAAAAAGATCCCTCACTTCCCAAAGGCTATAAGTGTCAAGTACAGGTCTATATTTGCAGGCCTCCACCAGCAAGTGGTGGCATAATAATATATAATATGACTAAAAAAAATCTGAAGGGGCAATAAACAAAACACAAACCAATCCTGCAGTCTTATCACAGAAATAATTCAAACTTTTATGTATAAATATATTTCCAAATTTCTTTTGCAATTTAACTGAGTGACATTTTTGAGATTTTCCAATAATAATACACATTTACTAACTGGGTTCGAGGGCAACGTGTTTTGTCGGACCTAAGAACCAAACTGTTTGCCTGAGGCCATTAGGCCGAAGGGAAACAGTTTGGTTCAAGGGGTCAGCAAATTGCATTTTACCCCGAGAACACGGTCAATAAATGTTTTGTTATATCTTTTATTTTCTTTCTTTGTTTGACATACATGTATTTTGTACTGGCTTCCGTGATGTAAATTTCCCTTTCCAGCACTGAGGTAAAACTCTGTCAATTCTGTAACTTTCGAACACCAACGAATACAAATGAGATTTTAATTAACTAATCCCGCGCATACTAGTACTGTAATATGTAAGCAGTCCAATGATCTCATCGACAGGTTCAATATCTCACTTTGCGGTTCAACATAGATTTTTTTATGATTGCTCATAAAACATTGGAAATGTTAGACATTTTAAGTGTACACTGGTATAGATTTATATAGGAACAAATTTTAAAAGGTATAACAAATTATAATATTAATTAAGGCCCTAGTTATAACAGCTATTCATACTTGTTGAAGAATATATAACAATAATTATCATGTTTATACATGTAGTATGTTAGATAGTGTATTGTTGAATTTTTGCATTTTTTTGTTTCAATAAAAAAAAATAAGTCTTGGTGAAATTATATGGCAGGCTCTCATGTATTTAAATATAAGGTAAAGCAATGGGGATTTGACAATGTCATGTTAGGGCTAACAGACAGAGACTGAACCACAAAATAGATAACATACATCAGTGTTTGTGCGTACATTTATACATTTGCTGGCATATACATGTAAACATCAGTGCTGTAAGCAGCTGTTAAATTTTAGATAAGAAAAATTCTAACCTTCATTTCCAAGGTCCACGCCAATCATATATTAAAATGTCACCGTGAACTCTTTCATCACTCGCTACATTTATTACAGAAAACTCCGACACAAGACTGTTCATCGCTGTTAATGTGATCGTCAGAATTTCCTCGTAAACAATTTGCGCAAGAATATATATATCCCTTTAAAACTAATGCTCCCTGTACGCAACCAAGGATTTTATGTGCTTCGTAGATGTGGATTAAATGTGCATGTCTACATACGGCTCGTACGTTAAGAAAATGTACAACTGACAACTTCACATATTTTCTTCTCATTTTCTGTCTGTAATTCCGACTTGCATGGCTACTTCCGGGGACGTACTAAAGACTTGATATACTAAAGACCTGATATTCGACCTGATGATTTTTCAAAAAATAAAATAGTCAGATTGAGTGTTATGCATGATTTATTTTTAAAAATTATTGATTATGAAGCATTATGCTATACTAAACTACACTTTTTTTTTAAATATTTGCCAACAAAGCATCAGATCAAATCACGTTTTTCGTATATCGGGTCTTTAGTGTCTTCTTCCCACAATGCCGCTCGTGATTGTTTACATCCAGGTTACAAACAAAAGGCCCCGATTACGACTTTTTCTATACGGATGCATTTGTAAATGTTGATTTACCTTTACTTGTGTAAATGACTTGCATTTATAAACGATTTAAATAATAGAAAACAGAGAAATCGAATCAAAACAATTTATTTAAAACACAACAACTATCTAAAACCGTACAAGCATGTGTTACGATGCCCTAAAAGGCGTGGCTGGTTTGTAGACAACTTGTTCCTGTACGATTCTCGAATAATTATTATATAAAATAGAATAAAATATAGCACGGAGCTTGTTTCTCTTTATACCACATGACAAGATTTTATATGTTAGAAATTATGTCATTCAAACTTTTTCATAATATTTTAATATTTTTAGCTATCCAAAAAATACTTTTATGACCTGCTGTCCCCTGAATATAGGGGCCAGCCCCTTTTTCTTGATGTTATCTGAAAGCTCTCGTAATTACACACAACTTTTATTCTATATGTCTTACCAAATTTTTATCAGTTTAAAAGTTATTAAACAAAAAGCAGCAAAATTCCATGCAAAAATAATTCTTAAAACTTGCCGTCACATAGCTTCCGAACTTAAAAAAATTAGCCTACAATTTTAATGTTCTGCTCATCTGCAATGTATTAGTTACAAGTTCTCCAATTTTCATGCAAATATCATGTGTCGTTATTGAGATTTCTACTGGACAAGAGACCCTCCAAATATCGATTAAAGGGCAATAACTCATGAACGGAGGTATATATCAAAAATTTGAAAAAACCGTTTTTAGGCAATAATACATTGTATCTACCCTGAAAGTTTCATAGCAATCGGACAAAAGGTCTCCGAGAAATCGCCTGCTGAAAATCGGCGGGAAAAAAAAATAAAATAATAATAAGAAACAGTAGAATAACAGTAGGGTCTTCCGAAGGAAGCTCGGAAGACCCTAATAATAGGGAAAAAGAAACCGAACGAAAACAATAAGGTCTTCCGTTGCAGACAAAAGACCTTAACTAGATGAGATCTCGTTGCGAGCAACGAGTAGGTCTTCCGTCCGATTTTTCGATGAGATATGATTTTGACTATGATCTTTGTTAAAAGATAATAATATATAGACTTCCCTAATTAGATTTCATTCCTTTGATTTATATAACATTATTAAAAAAGCTATAGATGAAATGCTTTTGGTCCCTCTCAGCCCCTAGTTTGAGGGGTCAGCCCCTTTTTCTTGATATCAATTGAAAGGTCTTGTGATTTTGAAAACGTTTTGTTCAAGAAATATTCAGAGATTTCTTTTCGTTGTGGAGATATGCTGAATGGAAATATTTAGAGTCCACCCCTCCAAGTCCTTAATGGGGCCGTTTGACAAAAACTGAAAGGGTGCATATTGTTTAGAACATTATTCTGACCACCTTTTGTTCAGTATTGCTTATCAAAAATATTCTCCCTTTTGGAGATATAAAGCGTCAAAGATTTAGCATTCTCGCCCCTTGTGACCCCTTATTATGTAACATATGATCAAAATCTTATCATATATTGTTGTAAATCGTTAAGATAAGCATCTTTGCTTCAGTAATGTATTACAAATTATTGATCGTTAAAGAATTATAGGTGAAAGACATTTGGCCCCTCTCAGCCCCTAATTTGAGGGATCAGCCCCTTTTTCTTGATATCAAATAAAGGACCTTGTGATTTTGAAGACTTTTTGTTCAACAATTATTCGGAGATTTCTTTTCGTTATGGAGATATGCTGAATGGAAATATTTAGGGGCCACCCCTACAAGTCCTTAATGGGGCCGTTTGACAAAAACTGAAAGGGTGCATATTGTTTAGAACATTATTCTGACCATCTTTTGTTCAGTATTGCTTATTAAAATATTCCCCCTTTTCGAGATATACAGCATCAAAGATTTAGCATTCTGGCCCCTTGTGACCCCTTATTATGTAACATATGATCAGAATCTTATCATATATTGTTGTAAATCGTTAAGATAAGCATCTTTGCTTCAGTAATGTATTACAAATTATTGATCATTAAAGAGTTATAGATGAAAAACTCTTGGCCCCTCTCAGCCCCTTATTTGAGGGATCAGCCCCTTTTTCTTGATATCAAATGAAAGATCGTATCATTCTGCACAACTTTTCTTCTATATGTTTTAACAAATTCTTAACAGGTATGAAGATATGAAAGAAAAGGTGTAAAATTTTGTGAGATGTTTCTGAGACATTTTTTGAGCCCTACCGAGCTTCGGCGCCTTTTGCGCTAGAGAGATTTGGACACCTGCCTGCAAATCTACCAACCTTCCCCTACCTTCACTGAAAATCTTGAATCAATATCATAAGTCGTTTCGGAGGAGTTTCCAGGACAAGCCGACCCTCTAAAAATCAGAAAATCCTAAATATCTCGAGATAGAAAGTGACGTCATCAACGAAAAAAATTTCCAATAAGGTTCAGATCAATACCTATCAGATCTGAAAGTTTCATGAAAATCGGCCAAGACGTTTTCGAGAACTCGCGTGCACAAAATCGGTAAGAATAATAATAATAACTAGATGAGATCTCGTTGCGAGCAACGAGTAGGTCTTCCGTCCAATTTCTCGATAAGATGAGATATTATTTTGACTATGATCTTTGTCAAAAGATAATAATATATAGACTTCCCTAATTAGATTTCATTCTTTTGATTTATATAACATTATCAAAGAGATATAGATAACATGCTTTTGGCCCCTCTGAGCCCCTAGTTTGAAGGGTCAGCCTCTTTTTCTTGATATCAATTGAAAGGTCTTGTGATTTTGAAAACGTTTTGTTCAACAATTATTCAGAGATTTCTTTTCGTTGTGGAGATATGCTGAATGGAAATATTTAGGGGCCGTCCCTCAAAGTCCTTAATGGGGCCATTTGATAAAAATTGAAAGGATACATATTGTTTAGAACATTATTCTGACCATCTTTTGTTCAGTATTGCTTATCAAAATATTCCCCCCTCTCAAGATATAAAGCGTCAAAGATTTAGCATTCTGGCCCCTTGTGACCCCTTATTACATAACATATGATCAAAAACTTATCATATATTGTAGTAATTTGTTAAGATAAGCATCTTTGCTTCAATAATGTATCATAAATTATTGATCATTAAAGACTTAAAGATGAAAGACTTTTGACCCCTCTCAGCCCCTAATTTGAGGGGTCATCCCTCTTTTCTTGTTATCAAATAAAAGGTCTTGTGATTTTGAAGACTTTGTTCAACAACTATTCAAAAATCTATTTTCGTTTTCGAGATTTGCTGAATTGAAATATTTAGGGGCCAGCCCTCAAAGTCCTTAATGGGGCCGTTTTGCAAAAATTGAAAGGTTGCATATTGTTTAGAACATTATTCTGAACATCTTTTGTTCAATATTGCTTTTCAAAATATTCCCCCTTTTTGAGATATAAAGCATCAAAGATTTAGCATTCTGGCCCCTTTTGGCCCCTTATTACATAACATATGATCAAATTTTAAACCATATAGTTGCAAATCTATAAGATGAACATTTTTGCTTCAGTAATTTATAACAAAATATTGATCGTTCAAAAGTTATACATGAAAGACTTTTGGCCCCCCTGAGCCCCTAATTTAAGGGATCAGCCCTTTTTTCTTGATATCATTTGAAAGGTCTTGTGATTTTGAAGATTTTTTGTTCAACAACTATTCAGAAATCTAATTTCGTTTTCGAGATATGCTGAATTGAAATATTTAGGGGCCAGCCCTCAAAGTCCTTAATGGGGCCGTTTTGCAAAAATTGAAAGGTTGCATATTCTTAAGAACATTATTCTGAACATCTTTTGTTCAATATTGCTTTTCAAAATATTCCCCCTTTTTGAGATATAAAGCGTCAAAGATTTAGCATTCTGGCCCCTTGTGACCCCTTATTACGTAACATATGATCCAAATTTTAAACCATATAGTTGCAAATCGATAAGATGAACATTTTTGCTCCAGTAATTTATAACAAAATATTGATCGTTCAAGAGTTATACATAAAAGATTTTTGGCCCCTCTGAGCCCCTAATCTGAGGGATCAGCCATTTTTTCTCGATATCAAATGAAAGGTCCGATCATTTTACACATCTTTTGTAATACATGTTTTAACAAAATATTTACAGGTAAAAAGATATAAAAGAAAATGTGTCAAATTTTGCGAGATGTTTGTGAACCTATTTTTCGAGCCCAGGCGAGCTTCAACGCCATTTCGGCTGGAAAGATATAGATGCCCAATTGCACATCTACAATCTTTCCTCTATCTTCACTGAAAATCTTAAGTCAATAGCTTTAGTCGTTTAGGAGGAGTTTCCAGGACAAGCCGACCCTCTGAAAATCAGAAAATCCTCAATATCTCACGACCGGAAGTGACGTCATCAAAAAACAAAAAAACCTATCAAGATCAATTGAATATCTTTTACATCTGAAAATTTGGTGTAAATCGGCCCAGCCGTTTCTGAGAAATCGCGTGCACAAAATCGGTTGGAAGAAAAATAATAATAATAATAATAATAACTAGAGCAAAGCTCGTTGCAAAGCAACGAGTGGGTCTTCCTTCTTAGCGATTAGCTTGTAAGTTGACGTCGTAATAAAAGGATAAATATTTGTTTAATTTCCACCTAAAGGTTACATGTTTCTGTTTAGATTGTCAACTTTGCTAGC